AACGCAAACTACCGGCCCAAGGCAGCTCCGCCTGGGTGCTTCGCTGTCCGAGAGCAAAACCTTGCGGGTGCTGGCCTTGCGGATAAACGCAACGCAACCTACCGGCCCAAGGCAGCTCCGCCTGGGTGCTTCGCTGTCCGAGAGCAAAACCTGCTGGGCTGGCCTTGTGAATAAACACAACGCAAACTACCGGCCCAAGGCAGCTCCGCCTGGGTGCTTCGCTGTCCGAGAGCAAAACCTTGCGGGTGCTGGCCTTGCGGATAAACGCCACGCAACCTACCGGCCCAAGGCAGCTCCGCCTGGGTGCTTCGCTGTCCGAGAGCAAAACCTTGCGGGTGCTGGCCTTGCGGATAAACGCCACGCAACCTACCAACCCAAAGCAACTCAGCCTGGGTGCTTCGCTGTCCGAGAGCATACCCGCTGGGGCTGGCCTTCCGGACAAACGCGACCCAGTCTAACGGCCTAAGGCAACTCAGCCTGGGTGCTTCGCCGCGCGAGAGCATACCCCCTGGGCTGGCCTTCCGGATAAACTCTTCTTATGCTACTGGCCTAAGGCAACCCAGTCCTGGTGCTGGCCTTCCAGCTAAACGCATCTAAGCCTACCGGCCCAAGGCCACGCAGCCTGGGTACTTCACCGCGCACCCTGGGGCTGGCCTTTCGGATCAGCACAACGCAACGCGGGCGTTTCTCTCCCTGAGATCATCACCCGGGTAAAGCCTACCGGCCGTGGGCACTCGTTATTGCGCAGGCTTCCTGAGTCTAGTTGCTACCCTTTGCGGGGCGTAGCTCCCCGATGAGCGCAAGGCGGTCCGGGCGCTTCGGTGGGCTCCAGCTGGGCACCTGGCAGTAACCCGTGGTGATAATAAACCACGTTGAGCTCAACCTCAAAGCAATGACCTCTCCGCCGCGGCGCCGTCCCCTCCTAGCCGGATCACCCCATTCCCCAGCAAAATATGCGTAGCTGCCAAGCCTTTGCGGCCGGTTCCGGGACACCCCTTTCCCTCTTACACGCAACCGGGTAGGCCTAGTTGCAGCTGGCTGCGCCTGCTTTCAGACAACGCGGGATAAGGAGCGCAGTCCGGTGATAATCACAACGTCCCCTTCTGAGTGTTTCCGTCGCGTGCCATTCTTATCGCCTTCGTCATAGCCATTACTTCGTTCTCCTCCGGACCTTCTCCGACTCCGCCGCGCACTTCATCCCGCTCGGCCATCTCTTCGCTGTTACTGACGCCCGATGTGCCAGTAACGCTGTGTTCACTGATTTCCTTCCTTATTAAACTGAGTCCATATGTATTGTATATTGTTATTTTTGACATCCCTATTCCCCAACAAACGACGTTCTGACTTGCACTTGCTTGCACGGTTGACTGGCGAACTTGTGTTGTCTGGATTTAGCGCTTTGTTCTCCGCTAATCTTTGTAACGAACTACAGTATCAGTCCCTGTCCTCTGGCCAGTTCTGGTCTGCGCCTCCCTGCGCCGCACTTGCCGTACTGCACTACAGGACGAGCACTTAATCAACATGCAAAGGTAAGGTGCGAAACGGGTAGGTACTTGTAGACGTTAGTAATCGGGGCACCACTGGAGGAGTAGCGCAGTGCTTCACAAAGAAGCGCTTCCGAGTAGAAAGTGAACTAGGTCGAGGCTTGCTGGATAACGTTTGACGCTTTTGCCCCCAAGCCGTGGATCGAGCCGTGGATGGAGAAATTCCTGAGAGTCCTTGGGCCGCTGAGAAATTGCGCCTCATCCTAAAGCAAACATTTACATTTATATTTTGCAACATATGAAGCTAGACGCAGCCCAAGACACGTGCTAGGCCGTTCCCGACGACAGCCGTAGCGAAGGAAATAACCGGTCGCGAGGAGGATTTGAATGCATGCGGTAAGTCCGATTATTTTACTATTTCTTTCTTTGCGTAAAAGAGTTAGTACCGCTTGACGTTAAAGTGCTGTTGTCATCCGTGCGCTTGTGTGCATGAGTTTGGGCTCTTTCGGAGCGATGACGTCGGTGGGGTGCAGTCGGTGGGGTGCAGTCGGAGGGGTGCAGTCGGAGAGGTGCAGAGCGGTGCCCCATCCTCACATCCTGGGTGACCCCCATTTTCTATCCTCGAGTCAACACCTCGCATCCTGGTGACTGCATCCCCCTCCTCCGCCATCCTCATCCTTGGTGGGTTGGCATCGACCCTCCACATTTGCCGCCATCCTGGGCCCCCTGCCATCTTTTGTCCTGGGTGGGGCCCCACATTTTTATCCTATTCGTTCCCATCCGTATCCTATGCCCGACTCTCTGCCGCATCCTGACCGCGCTGTCAACCTCCTGTCCAGTAGAGGTCCAGTCGGTCGTCTGTCGTCCTTTACGGAACATGGTTCTGGAGCGCCTGCAATCAACTTAGGCAATTGGAAGTCAATATATGAGCGCAAATAGCTCATTATCTCTCTCTCTTGTATATGAAAGTGTGCCTGTAACATTTTGGAGATTCTCAGAGCCGGACTGCTTCGCTGTGTCGCCGTCAAAGCCTGCCAGCCAACGATTGCCGACCCGCTATTGTCACAAGCCAATTTACAAATAGCACCATTGCTCACGGAAAGAACCGCGACACGATAAGCTTCTGCCAGCTACCCTCTCCAGCTGAAATGCTAAGATGTTGACCAATTGCGCAACATCAAACAATCAAGCAATGCCGCGTGAATACATCACGTGCATACTTACTTAACCAAGTCTCGAGCTGTTTCTGCGCTTGCTGGTCCTCCACAGCTGGTAATGTTAACGCCCGCGACCCCGATCACGAAATCCTTTTAATTATATCGAAGTTCTAATGATTTTTATCTGGTTATCTCGCATAGATTCCTTTACTAAGTATGGCTTTGAAGGCCGGCGGTTGAAACGCTTCACGCTAAGGCAAGGATTGTACAAGGAAACTAAGATTGAAACAAACTCAAAACAATTCTACCATTACTCGGGGCACAGGCTTTACTGCAGATAGGGGCGGAGCCGCCTGGGGTTGGTACCCGTCTGCCTTCCTGCTTGCGTCTCGGCGCGTCGCTATCTGCCTGGATGCCTGCGTATGCAGGCAAACAGTATTACATCTGACAAAACTGCAGCTTGATATTGAAAACCTTATCATAGACTTGATATTTTGGAGGATGATCTTGCAAGCCGGCGTAAAGTGATTCGCGATGAAAGCTTTGTTCAGATTTGTGAAGGCACGGTTGTCAAATGTAAGGCTCACCATGGCTGGGAGCTTATCACGTCGACTATTCAACCTAGATTCACCATAAATTAAACTCTGACTGCGCCGTTGCTAAAGTCGTTGCATATCTGAAACCCGGTGTTATGGCGTCTTTCAATTTAGATCTCCTGCCTCTCCTTTAATATTGGTATCTCAAATAAAATTAGGATATCTTAATTACACTTGCAAATCTAAACGTGCGTGGTCACCACATTTCGGGTGCAATTGGCTACGTCGATGTGGGCATCATGGAAGCGCTTGCTTCATAACGAGTAACGTAATTACGCATTAAGATTTTGCTCCGTAAGATCCTTAGTTTTCTTAAAGCAGCACGTTTTCCAAGTCAGACTTTGCTCTAACTGCTCTGTTTCCGCCGCGTCGGACATCCGTAACGATAACTCGTTACGGTGTGCAAAGTCGAAGCGCCCGCCAAAACTGTGCTACCTTTCAGCTCAGTAGCTGCTGCCGCACAGACAGAAATCAAATCTTCTTGTCGAAGTAACCAACGGAACAATTTACATTTTACAGTTATTCGAGCCCGCATACACCCTAACGGGAAAATCGTTCCTGCCAGGGACCTGTCGCCAAGGGGGTACGGACTACGCACCGAAAACCTAGAGCATAACATTCCCTTCCAAATACTTGAACGGCTGTGGAACATAGCAAATACGCCACGGTTGGGTGCACTGCGCCGCTGCAAATCTCGCTCGCTCCCGTTACCGCCGTTATTTCGACCCATGAACGCGCCCCTTTGGTTCACAACCCTTGAAAGTATGCATCCCTACCGCGGCCCGCCGCGACTAACTTCTCCTTGACTCACCGAGCCGGCGTATCCCTCAGTAAACAGGTTGTGCAGCGGTTGGGGGAAGTTCTACGGAAGTGCCGAAGCATGTGACTGTCCTAGAGTCTCGCCCTGCTACATTAGGACGCTTCCTTTGGTAGCAATCTTTCGGACGTTACAGTTTTAAACGTTTCCCAGACTCAACAGGATGTATCATGTAGCATTTGAATTGTGTGCGCCGCTTAAGATTATTGGGGCGGTAGAGAGGGAAGGGGGAAGGGTGTGAAGACGCGAATATGGCAAATCCATGCAAAATCGGTTTCGGGGCGCGCAATTGCGTCTGCAAGACGCTGCGGCGGGCGTGCCACGCCACGCCGCAAAGCAGCTTGCATGGTGTAATGGGAGTGTTTCCTAGGCACTTCTCAACTGCCGACCGGGTGCTTCAGAGCTTCAGGCTGAACGACAATTGTTCTTGGATGCGTTGTCCACCTTAATTAGGGCACGAGCGGCAAAGTAGGAAGCCATTCCCAACGGTTTAGCGAAGCTCAAACAGTTTTCCTTAAGAACATTATTAAAATTCACTTCTCCTCGAAAAGCAGTCGAGGATTATGGGATCACGGTTATTCACGGGGCGCTACACTTCAGAAACGCCCGCAGCTTTGTTACGCAAGTGGCGTTTCGGCTTCTGGTGAGCGGCTGTTATGGTATCAATATATTGGCACGACGTCCAAATAACGATGCGTTGAGGTACTTGGGAATTTTTGGATAAAGTAAGCTATTGTGGATGCGCCCTTCCTGGGAAATTCCCAGTGGGAATGGGCTGCTGGAGTATCATATGGCGATGGTAGAAAGGCGTGCCACAGCTGCATGCAAAACACCTTCATTTCATGCATTTGTTGCAGAAGTTCTTCTCATTCTTGCGCCAGTTTTTCCTTTCGTGTGTTCAAAGATCATGCGCATGTTCAAGTGTCAAGCATGGACAAAAAAGAAGCCGCAAGATATAATTTATAATGGCATGCCTTAGTTAGGATCCTGGTTAACGACGGTTAATAAGGTCCCCCCACCGGCCAAATCTGGCAGATGCACCTCTATTTGCCAAATCTGGCAGATGCACCTCTATTTGTAGGAATACTCCACTGCAAAGATGAGCCAAATTTGATATCTATGAGAAATAAGTTACAAGAGAGCGGGAACGCAAAGGCCTGCTACACGTGACGTGGGCCATCGGGATTGAACGTAAAACGTTAAAACCTGCTCAACTTCCCGGCCATAGGCAGGTAGCGATGATGATAATTATGATGGTGATTATTACGAAATAACTGAATGTTAGCGCAGTAGTCACTCAACTACAAATGGTTCGGGCCAGCGGCCATGCACGGAACATTCCAACAGCCACGTCAAGTGCAGCAGCACAGGAGGGGGACGCTGCCCTCACTTGACGAGATGCGCAAAAAGCAAGAGAATATCAATTAACGACAATTTGCGTTTGGTAGACGCCGAGAGGCCCGTAACTGGATCAAACCCAAGTGCAACACTGACACCTGCGCAGCGGAAAAAAGTACTGGCCGCATCCAACAATCATGTCGCGCATCATATCATATATAATCGTGTTATGTTCATCTCAGCGACATTTGACCAGTGCTTAATCATTTATGCAGGACTACCTACTTTCACCCCTGCGGTTGCAAAAGCAGCACGCAGCCCTCCCATTCCGGCTAAAGGCATGCATGCGTCCCTATGCTGCTGATGCTGCGGATGCTGCTGCTGCTGCGCCGCTGCTGCTGCTATCCAAGCCCGCCGCAGCAGTGGCACAGCGGTGACTTGGCATCGACGCCGACGCCACACCCACAAGCCTCCTCCGCCTCCCCGGCAGCAACCTCAGTCATGTGTAGCAGCATATAAGAAAGGGACTGGCGGTTTTCCCCCCCACATCCGCGCACATCCACTCACGCACAATCTTCTTGCGCGGGCACACACACCCACACACCCACGGGGGGGTGTTGCGCTGCACCACCCTTTTTTTTGCATCGTCATGCGAAACGCTTTACGCGATGGTGCCGACCCGCGGGCAACATGTGTTGTCGGGGTTGTTGAATACCGCGACGGTGCAGCCGCGGCCAGGACAGAGATCTGCAAACTTGGTACAGCCGGCACCCTTGATGTTGAAGCAGAGGCTGCCGCCGGCGACACCTTGAGCATAGGTGAGGCCCAGGCGGGTGAATTTGAGGACTGGGCGAGTGGAGTCCCAGGAGAATGACGACCTAATCTCCGCGGTGTTGGACAGAGTGAACGGCAAAATGGAGCCCTTGCACTTGCCGTCTGTGGGGTTCGAACAGAGAACGGGTGCGAAGGGGAAATGTGTTGGTGTTGTGTTGGTAGGCATGGTTGAGCACATGTAAATGGGGCTCTAGGTTAATACATTCGTAGGGTAGCACATAAGCAGCCCAAGGTGCAACACGCACGCGCACAGACATATGTGGGTGTAGATGTGGTTGCAACCGGCAGCTATGTATGTTGTGGACACCAAATTATATAAATTATTACTAATTAAGCAGCTTTAGCACTTGATTTGAATTCTTCTAAATATTCAGCAATAGCTTGTTTTACTAAACCTTCTGCTCCAGGAGTAAAAGTTAACTTGGTCTCGCGTTCGAGCGAGCAGCGCCAGCAACGGAAGCCATTCTTAGACCCGACAGCGGGATCCCGGAAAACGATACCACGGGCTGGCGTGCAGAGGCGTTATTACGACATGCCGACAGCTCAGCAGGTGACAGTGGCGGCAGTGGGAACATACCCCCAAGCGCCACACGCGGAGACCGGGTGAATGATTGAAGAGACTGATGCTATCCCGGTAGCTTGTTTTGGCTTTGAAATCATTTCCACTTACTAGGCCACGCCAGCCCACACCACACACGCATGGATGCACGCGCAAACGAAGGTGGTGTGTTTCAGGGGTGAGATTAAAGACCAGAGTATGGAAAGATGCCGTACTCGCATCGCCGTATACACACATACATACGCACGCACATGCAGCGCATATCAATAGATCGTTTTAAAGCTTATTGTATTTGCTGTTGTTATTGTTATGTTCCCTAGCTCGTCTGTTTACTTCGCGCCACTAGGGTACATATGACCTGGTACACGTCAGCCCTTCAGCAATTCTCACCCTAGCGGGCACCAGAACCAAACCAACCCAGAACCCGTCTCCCCCTCCCTTCAGGCGAGAAGCTGCTTCCTAAACCCACGGCGCATCAGGCCCTGACGTGGTTAAAATATAATGCTGGCGGCGCCAACCAGCAACCACTTCAACCACCGTGTAATCGCGTAGGGCAGGCTGCTGCTGAAGAGGAGGCATCAGCACTGCGGAGGACTTTGCACCTGATAACACTCCGACACTGTTGGCATTTGTTATTCTTCACGCTGGGTCACCGCAAACGCAACATCGATACTTCCACGACCCCTCCACGACCCCTCCACGACCCCTCCACGACCCCTCCTAAGCGACCAACGTTACGCACCACATCGGCTTCCCAGCAGGCTGCTATGACGGGCTCGCCATAGCCCGTAGCTGTAGTGCCTAGGAAGCCACCCATCACCCAGGAGCTGTTTCCGCAGCTGCTAGAGCAGCATGAACAACACACATACACACATACACACACACACACATCCTTGTTCCAGTTCACCCGAAAATCCCATCCTCTCCCCCAAAGCCATCTGATGGTAGTGTCAGTCCCGTGATCCCAATCTCCCGCGCCGCCATTACACCCCCACCCCCCATTCCCCCCCCCCACACACACACAAACACACATTCACACAAATTGCCGCCGCAACGCTGAGGTACTCACTAGCAAAGAGCTCGACCTTCTCCAGTCCATCCGAGCAGCACCCGCCCAGGCCGTTGTTGCAGGTGGCAGCGGCCGCGTTGTCGACCGAAATCTTCAGGCACACGCGCTCGCCAGCGCCGCCAGAGATGGTGACCGCGGAAACGTTGGCGACGGTCACGCGCCATGGGTAGCTGGAAGGGGACCGGGACACGCACCTGGGCGCGGGGGAAAAAGAGGAGGGCGCGTAGGATGTGAGTTTTGGGGTTGTAGGGGGTCAGTGAAAAGCAGGTCATATAGCACCTCAAGAGGGCAAGCTTTGGTTGTATCAGGATGTGGCCAGGGGCCCATGGCGCGTGGGGGGGGGTCCATGAGGGGACGCGGAGTGGGTTTGGGTTGGGACGGGTTACAAGGACACTTGCGAAAATGAGACACAGGGGTGCTCCTTGGCAGATGCTGTTCCCTCGGAATAGAGAAAAAGCGATATTGCCGCCACATTTCGACACACATATACACATATGCACACACAGGCGCGCGCGCGCACATGCTGAAAGCAAGGAACAGTCCAGTTCGTGCTGTGATATTTCTGTGATCGAGCAGGGGGTTGGTGTACACAGAACATCTGAAGGAAGTAGACGTGGGCTGGACGGGGCAAGGTGCGCATGGCCGAGGGGGTATTTTTGTCAATCATGCACAACACTGTGCAGCGCTGGATGACTGAATGTAGCACAGCACGACACTGCGCAGCTAAACATGCATAGCATAGTCAAGCACTAAGCGACGTATCGAAACCACATATGGACCTGAAGACAAATACTTTGCCCATGATACGGCAGTTGTGTATCCTTCGTACTGGTGTAGCGTTTTGACAGTTGAA